CCACCAAATGCACCTGTGAAGGTGGTGGAACTGAGAGAAAAGCCTCTCCTGATGGTCTTAACACAGAGACAAGTTCATAATGGGAGATGTAGTTCTTGAGATAGCGGTTAGACTGCAACTCCCATCAGCTGATTGTGCTGGTGTGGGCTTATGGGAATTGCAGTCTAACAGCCTCTGTAGTTAGAGCATGGTTTGCTAGACATTCTGTCTGTCTGTCTGTCTGTCTGTCTGTCTGTCTGTCTGTCTGTCTGTCTGTCTGTCTGTCTGTCTGTCTGTCTGTCTGTCTGTCTGTCTGTCTGTCTGTCTGTCTGTCTGTCTGTCTGTCTGTCTGTCTGTCTGTCTGTCTGTCTGTCTGTCTGTCTGTCTGTCTGTCTGTCTGTCTGTCTGTCTGTCTGTCTGTCTGTCTGTCTGTCTGTCTGTCTGTCTGTCTGTCTGTCTGTCTGTCTGTCTGTCTATCTATCTATCTATCTATCTATCTATCTATCTATCTATCTATCTATCTATCTATCTATCTATCTATCTATCTATTCCCTATATAGCCAATGCATATGAAGGCTTTTGATTGGTTGACATCCCAAGTAGAACTATTTTTATGCTAGGAAAACTTGAGGCACCCTTATAGGGAGAAATGACACTGTCTCATAGAAAATGTCCTCAGTGGTTTACTAAATAGACCTCGTCAGCTATTCTCTTGCCTCCTGTTCCCCTTCTACTAGAAAAATTGTAGATTTATTTAGTACCTGTCATGTTTCCAACTAAACACAAACCTTGCGGCTTCTTCTTAGCCCCTTCCGGTGAAAGTACTGGAGGGCTTACCATCAGAGCCGTCCAAAGCTAACCACCTCATGCCGACACCACAAAAAAATGAGAGGGGGGTGGAAAGGGTGATGCGTTTTGTTCAAGGCCTAACCTTTTCAGCACAGGAAAACATACAGAGAGAGAGAAAGAGAGCAAATGAGAGTCAGAATTACTCACCTTTACTAGCTGTGGTACTGAACATCAAGCAGTTCCCACATCAAAAAAGCAGCTTCTCCGCATATGGTTTTACAAGTCTAATCTTCCTCTTTCTCGGCGCCCAGTTGCAGATCAATGATTTTGAGGCACTTCTGTGTCAACACTGAAGAAGCCTAAAGGTTATAGCATACGACTGGAGAGACCCAGGTTCAGATTCAAACCCAACTGTGAATATGTTTGCAGTCATACCATGTTTTCCCAAAAATAAGGCAGGGTCTTATATTAATTTTTGTTCCAAAGAATGCAGTAGGGCTCATTTTAAGGGGTTGGTGTTTTTTTTTCATGGACAACAATCTAGATTTATTCAAATACAGTCATGTCATTTTCTTCTGGTTGCTGCACAAGGGTGGAGGGCAGGGTTTCACTTCACTGGGGCTTATTTTTGGGGTAGGGCTTATATTACGAGCATCCTGAAAAATCATACTAGGGCTTATTTTCAGGTTAGGTCTTATTTTCGGGGAAACCGGGTATTATCTATCGAATGCATTTATACAATAACCACGAGGTTTCTTATTTTGCTAAAAAGAAAGAAAGAAAACTTTTGTGTCTGTTGTCTATATAATTCCAACTAAAGTTATTTGACTATTTTGTATTAAAATGATCACATTTGGCTTTCAGGTTATAGCATGGATCCAGTTATATATATAGGGTCCCATTTTTCAGTTGTTTCTTGGATTGAATTGCCTTTCAAAACTTCTGTTAATATGTCCCTCTCCGCCATGTCCATAATTATGTCCAAACCAGAATTTTTCTTATTAAACATGTTGCCAAAGAGTCTGGATAGGAGAGAGAGCCATTTGGTGATACATATAATAACTGCAGCCAGAATACTATATGCAGAAAACGGAAGAAAACCAAAATTGCATCCGGCTTTCTTAATCTCACCTTTGTCTGAAAACTGTATGGTATTAGTTCTTCAATCCCAAATAAAACGACTAATCTAACTGATCCAAAAATATGGCATTATGTTTTCTTCTTGTTTCCCCTTCACATTGCCTATGTTTATCCATCAGCTTTAATCAACACAAAACTAATCCCGAGGTGTTACAAGTAAGCACTTCCAGATCAAATCAAATTGTTCCCAGGACCAAACACAGAAGATCCATTATTGAATCTGTGCATGTCTATAGAATACACAGAAGTAGTTTACCATTCCTTTCTTCTGGAGATGCCCCGGGACTTTGCAGCTTGACCAAAGCTACGCAGGCTGGCTCTTCTCCCTGGATACATAGTGGGGGAACCAACTCCCAACCTCTGGTTCCACAGCGAAATACTGTACCTAAACAACAGAGCTATATGTCCGTGCTTGGAGACAGCTGTCTGTGTGTGCGTGTGTGACTTGATTTGTAGCAGGCGTGCTCAGGCAGAAGATAGTTAACTCTTGTCACTTTCCAGATCTATGTTCTGAATTTTCCAGACTGTTCTTAGAGGCAACGCCATGTAGAGTGTTAGCAAGGTCAAACTACATGACGAGGTCAGCTTTGCATTTGACATGTTTGTGCAAAGATATCTGATAAGGTTCTCTCACCACCATATTTTGCACATTTGCCTGCTTTCTTCTGTGGTTGCTCAGTGGGAGGTAAATAAATCTGATTGCTTAAGCATGAATTACATCATTGGAGGGGAAACAAGGTAGTCAGCTTTTCATTGTACGCCCAACATCTAGTCTGATTCTGAGAATAATCTGTCAGTCAAAGCACTCCAGGCCACCACTGCCACCTGAGCTTTGAAGGAGAGCAAATGATCGAAGTACATCCCCACACTAGGTACGTGTCCTCACTACAAGTGAAAATCCTTTTTTTAAAAAAGCCAAACCATTTCACCTACATAGCCCATATTCTTGATTAATTAGCTCCTCCTGGGCGAAGTTTCACCTTGTTTGTTTCTACCCTGTCCTGGACTGACTCTTGAAAAAGATGTGTATCACTTCCACAGTTCAGTCACTGAATTTGGTGATGACACCTCAGCCAAGATCTCCAGATGATGTCACTCAGCAATTAATGGAGACATAAAAATGTGTAAACCAATAGGTGTGGCTCAATACACAATACTTTTAAAAATTTATAACTGCTACAAGCACAGGGGACGTGGTGGCGCTGCAGGCTAAACCGCAGAAGCCTTTGTGCTGCAGTGTCAGAAGACCAGCCGTCGTAAGATTGAATCCACGTGACGGAGTCAGCTCTCATCACTCTGTCCCAGCCCCTCGCCAACCTAGCAGTTCAAAAGCATGCAAATGCAAATAGATAAATAGGGGCCACCTCAGTTCCGGGTCTAAGTCGCACTGGTCACGTGACAACAGAAACTGTCTTTGGACAAACGCTGGCTTGGAAACGAGGGCTGAGCACTGCCTCCTAGAGTTGGACACGACTGACTAAATGTCAAGGGAAACCTTTACCTTTACCTTACAAGCTACTAGCTTGTGGTACAAAATACAGTCCCCTTCCGTCTGTCTCGTCCTCACATCAACATTCACAATAGAGGATGGGGCAGAATTTAACCATAAGAATTCCCTTCTCTCTTAGTTAGTGAGGTCATCTTCCCATGACTATAAGAGTAACTGAAACGTTACTATTATAGTGGGGTAGCTTATCCCTCATTAAGTTACTACAGTGAGTGCCTCGCTTAACGAGTGCACCTAGAGGATGGGGCAGAATTTAACCATAAGAATTCCCTTCTCTCTTAGTTAGTGAGGTCATCTTCCCATGACTATAAAAGTAACTGAAACCTTACTATTATAGTGGGGGAGCTTATCCCTCATTAAGTTACTATCTTAATAGTAAATGCCTTACTTACCTTGAAAGCCCTATTAGTATTGCTGTAAGTCAGTTCCTACTTGATGGTACTCTATAACAAGTAATAATCGAAAGGTGTGAAGAGAACCAGGTGAATCGGCAAAATACTATTTCTGTGCATCTCTCATCTCCCGGTCATCTCTGAGGCTGTAATAGGGACCTTCTTAACTCCCATTGTTTCCCTTTCCCAGTGGCTGATTAAAGAGGGCAAGATCATATCAAGACGGACACATTTCCCCTATTTTGCCCTTAAGTATCCTTTGTCAGTCTCCTTTACTTTTATAAATATTTCTAAGGGGCAATATCAAAATTGGCCACAAGAGGGAACTGGAGAATAGTTCTCTGAACTTTTTTGACCTGTTGGCAAGGCAATTCATAATTCACAGGTAAACATGGGCATGAATCAGAAAAATGGTGATTCATCTTGATTTGTGATTAATCGAGGTTGACAAATGATGAATTTACAGGGAGATTTTCTGATGAATCGATTTGTCAATTAATTTTTTAACTTTAGGTAAAGGTAAAGGTTCCCCTTGACAATTTTTGTCCAGTCGTGTTCAATTCTAGGGGGCGGTGCTCATCCCTGTTTCCAAGCCATAGAGCCAGCGTTTGTCCAAAGACAATCTTCTGTGGTCACATGGCCAGTGTGACTTAGACACGGAACGCTGTTACCTTCCCACCGAGGTGGTCCCTATTTATCTACTTGCATTTGCATGCTTTCGAACTGCTAGGTTGGCGGGAGCTGGGACAAGCGATGGGCGCTCACTCCGTCACGTGGATTCGATCTTACGACTGCTGGTCTTCTGACCCTGCAGCACAAGCTTCTGCGGTTTAGCCCACAGCGCCACCACGTCCCTTTTTAACTTTAACCCCCCCCCAGGACCTAGAGACACCAACATCACAGAGAAGCTTCTTCTGACTCTCCATGACATTCCTTCCAAGTTTGGTGAAAATTGAGTTTCAGACATCCAGGTTATATACCCACAAAGTGAGTTCCCCCAGGAAAGTACCCTTTAGCATGTGGCTTGGGAAAACCCAATCTCCACCCAATTTGGAGGGATTGTAGAGGAGAGTTGTGGGAAAAAATCTCTGTGATTTTGGTGTCTCTAGGTACGTGGGGAGAATTTTCAGGGCCTCTGGAGTTGGACCCGCTGACAGTTCCCTTTTTTAAAAAATGGAATTTTAAAAAGAGAGAGACCTTTTAAAATTATTGAACTGAAAAAGGGGCGAGAGGCCAGCAAAGTTTGTAGACTTAACCTGTGTTTGAATGTGTAATTCCTTGGGTTGTTGGAGGACCCCAAACGGTGAGGCATAACCAGGTATTCCACGCCATCCCACTCTCCCCTCTGCTCTAAGTGCTCAGCTCTATATTGTAGCTGGACAGAGAAGAGAAGGATGAAAGAAGAAGCCAGGATGCAATGGATGGAAGCGGCTTTGGAGCATCAATGCACCTACATTGTGAAGGACCAGCCGTATGAACCACACTCCCTTCTTACTCCGGCACAAGCCTCTTTGCCCCAGAGCCTGGCCTTCCGGCGCGACAGCAGCAATCAGGTATGAACAGTGGCGCGATTAGGGCTGAGACCCAGAGCATTCCTCCCCAAGCTCAATATTCAGCTGTGCGGAATCCCAGGCTCAGCTCTGCAACCCTTCCTCAATCCCTGCCTCCCAAGTCAAGGTTGTGCTTCCCTCCAGTTACTCCCGTGCAGTCCTCTCCCAGCCTCGCCATCCCAGGCTTCTGATCAGCTTTGACTCCCTGATATCCACCTCCTGTCAGCCTCTACTTACCATCCCCACCTTAAACACAGTTCTCTATGATGGCAGGACGTGGCCAGAACTTGGAAACATTGCCTTCTGGACCACAAGAATCCTTGACTACATGAGCCATCCTGGTTCGGATATTCTGAGACAGGGTTTTCCCTGCCAACTCTAATTCTGTGAGGCCTGCATAGGAATGGTATGGAAGAACCACACCTGGCCATTCCTAGCAAGCACATCTGGACCTACAAAACTCTCAAGTTGCTGCTCCTTGCTCAGTTGTCATCTAGGGTGGCTCTGCCCGATAGACGGAAAAGAGGGTTCCAAGCAGTATAGAGTTGACTGCAGGGGTCTAAGATATTCACAAACACAGCCTCATCTCCTGCCCAGCCGGCTTCCTCCTGCCAGGTTGGTGAAAAGGATAGACAGGCAGACGATTTAAGGAAGAGGCAGAAGGGGGTTCCTCGCCTGAGTTGAGCAGACGGTTGGACTCAATGGCCTTATAAGCTCCTTCCAACTGCATTATTCTAGGATTCTGCAAAAGAGGAAGGTTAGACCATGCACATGCCCACACACTGCTTGAAAATGGGCATTTATACCTGATTTGCTTTCCTCCATATTCATATTTGTTTTTAAATCCCAAGTGCTGTTGATCAAACTTATAACCTGTGATTTGTGAAAAATAGTCTTTTATTCACAATAATTTGCACTGGCGAAATTTAATGGCACAGCTCTCCCCAGTACAAAAAGGGTCTAACTTTATAGTACCCACTTGCCATTTAGCTGTTAAAAAGATGAAACCTGTCCAGGAGTATGAGGTGTGGTATGAGAAAGATAGCAGTAATGCAGCCTTACAATGCTGGGCCAAAAGCCAAAGCAACTTTGGCAGGCAAGCGACGGGGGCTCACTCCGCCGTATGGATTCGATCTTACGACTGCAGGTCTTCTGACCTTGCAGCACAGAGGCTTCTGCGGTTTAACCTGCAGCACCACCACGTCCCTAGCAAAGCAACTTTATAAAGACCTAAAACTTAAACAATTAAGACCCCTTTTAGCACTCTCCACAACTAAGTCCTCAAACCCTTCTGCCTGAATAGTTTTGCCATCTGCTGTATTCAGATTTTTAAAAACTGTAGTCTTTTCTGTTGATATTACAAAAAGAGAGAAAGAGAATCTGAGAAAATTCTTATTTTTAAAGAAACTAAGAAAATTGTCAGCCTTTCCTATTCTTCGTCAATATGAAATAAGAAACCACGAACTGACAGTTTTTTAAAATCAATCCAGAGCTTAGAAAAGTTACTTTTTTTGGACTACAACTTGAAAAATTCTCCATTTTGGCCATTCTGCCTACAGTTTTCATCCAGTTGTAGCCAAACCGATCCTGTTTTCAAGCTGTGCGCAGATGCTGTGATGACATCTCCTACGCCCACAAGCAGCAACTAGGGAATAAAAAAATAAACACATGATATTGACATCACCATGCAAATAGATATGCCATCACTCATTTTAATCCCTGCGCCGCTTGGTTAAGAAGCAGCCAATTCACTCCTAAGCAGAGTGGAGCTTTTCATTCATCAACTACTAGAGAGATTGCTGAGCCTTCCTGCCTCCACCCCCTGCGCCCCCCCCCCCCAGGGAAGCATCCACTGTGAATTCCTTTCAAGAATCGAGCAGAAAACAAAGTTTTTGGAGCCAGGGGATATGTTTCTGTCCACACTCTACTGATAAAAGCAGCGAGCACAGAAGACATGTATGAGTGTGTTTGTGTAAAGTCACACTTCCATGGGCTCATTTTTATGAATTTTGTAATCAGTTCTCAATTGAAAGCGATATGCATGAAATGCGCATGTCGAGATATGCTGTGCCCCAAATAGTGTACCTTAGTAAAAACTATGTACAGACACATCGACACTTGTATATGTATATACATATGCAAGGATACTTTGCATTATAGCAGGGCCAGTTCACCACACTATCGTTGTTGGGAAAATACTGGATACTGGAGTAATTTTTTCCTGTTGGTCCACAGTAGCATCATGTGTTCATAGAGGGGTCACATGCCCCAACATTTGGGTTGGGGAATGGGACTTCTGGCTGGGGCTGGGGCTTCAAAGTCCATTGAGTATCCATCAGGGTGGGGCTTAGCATTTTGACAGAAGACGACCCCCCCATCTTACTAGTTTGCAGAAAAGAAGAACAAGACTGTAAGTGACTGACCAATTCTTGGTGTTTTGCAGGTAATGGCAGTGATCAGCAGGGAGTACATTCCACCAGGCACAAGATTTGGACCCCTGGCTGGGAAGATCTTCACTGGACAAAATATCCCACAAGGCATGAAATGGAAGAACTTGTGGAGGGTAAAGGCCACAAAACACAAAATGGTTCCCATTAGCCCACGGGGGGGGGGGAAGCAAACAGGTGCCAAACAGGTGCCAAAATGCACTTTTTAAATCACTAGTTAGCCTGCCTTAAAGAATGTGCATGTTTCTAGTCCTGAGTAAGGATGATCATCCTCCATAGCATCTTTGGTCCTCAGATCGTGATCTAGCTGTGCATGAAAGGGTGTTTCATATACAAACCTGCCCATCTAGCATGGCCACATACTGGCTGAGGGGTTCTGGAAACTGTTGTCCAAAATTAAAGCTATGGCTTTGGATTATATCTTCCTCCCTCCCTCTCTCCCTGTTCCTGTTCCTCTCCCTTCACCCCTTCCTGCTTAGGTTTTCTCCGCAGATGGATGTCTTCACCATATGCTCGATGTGAATGACCCCACTTGCACTAACTGGATGTGCTACGTGAACCCTGCTCCCACCCGTGCAGCCCAAAACCTGATGGCCCTCCAGCACAATCTGGAGGTCTATTTTTATACCACTGTACCCATCTTGGCTGGAGGTGAACTTCTGGTTGGGAACATCTATGACATCTCCAGGAACTCCCATCCTTTGCTGTCAAGAGAACTGGTGATGACTCAACCAGGTAAGGGTACTGTATAGGGTGACACAATGAATACCACCTGTACCAATACCTTGAACAAGAAGAATTCGGACAAGGGTCGTCTTGTTCCAGAAACACCAGTCCACACACATCAGTCTCCTCCCATTATTTCATATCACTTGGCCAAGTCAGATAGAAGACATTGATTTTGGATGTCCTGGCATACAGTTTGGTCATAGCTACATGATTAATCAACACTAATTCTATACTAATTTCACTGGGATGGCTTCACCTAAAGAAGCAAGGGAGTAGTTTTCTGATGTGATGGGGAGAATTTTGTTAAGACAAACCTAAATGCAGCTACACCTTCCACGGACTCCCATTCTCAGGGTTTTCCAAGAAGAAATTCATTTACTGTATATTTGTAGTGCCAAGAACTTATTAACTGAAAGGTAGGTTTTTTCCCCCATTTATAAGGGTAAGCTACAAATTACACTATAGTGGTGCACAATTAAGTCCTGATGGACTTTCTTGCAAACTACTGTACTCTCAAGTAGAAGCTGGTTTTCATTGTAGACTCAGGGTTTTCCAAGAAGAAATTCATTTATATTTGTAGTGCCAAGGAGTTATTAACTGAAGGGTAGTTTTTTCCCCCCATTCATAAGGGTAAGCTACAAATTACACTGTAGTGGTGCACAATTAAGTCCTGATGGACTTTCTTTCTTGCAAACTACTCTCAAGTAGAGGCTGGTTTTCATCGTAGAAGGCATGTTTATTTGTTTGTTTGCTTATTTTTTAAATCTATACCCTGCCCATCTAGACCGAAGTCTACTGTGGGCGGCTAACAATAATAAACAAAATAAAAACAATGTAATAAAATAAAAAACAACAATAGCAATATAGTTCAGGATGGGGAAAAATATTCAAGTGATGACAGGAGGGAAAGCGTGCCTAAAGAGCCAGGTCTTCAGATAAATAGGGACCACCTCGGTGGGAAGGTAACAGCGTTCTGTGTCTAAGTTGCACTGGCCACGTGACCACGGGAGATTGTCTTCGGACAAACGCTGGCTCTATGGCTTGGAAACGGGGATGAGCAGCGCCCCCAGAGTCGAACACGACTGGACAAAAATTGTCAAGGGGAACCTTTACCTTTACCTTTACCTTTTGTTTGTTTATTAAATCTATACCCCGCCCATCTAGACCGAAGTCTACTCTGGGCGGCTAACAATAATAAACAAAATAAAAACAATGTAATAAAATAAAAAAACAACAATAGCAATATAGTTCAGGATGGGGAAAAATATTCAAGTGATGACAGGAGGGAAAGCGTGCCTAAAGAGCCAGGTCTTCAGATTGATCTTAAAAACACCCAGGGAGGGAGCCAGACAGATCTCTGGGGGCAGACTGTTCCAAAGGCAACGTGCTTGACTCTTTCCCTGCTAGCCATTTTTCTCCTCCACACCCCATGAGCTTTTCCCTCTTAGTCTTCCCTAAAGTTGAGCATGTTAGAAGGGTGAAAGCAGCCTGCTCCAGGTGGACCTGGTTATTTGAAAGATTGGTCCACATGGTTGTTGTTATAGTGGGGTCATAGTGTAGCATGTAGGGAAGCCTATGGTCCAAACTGGGAAACATTTCATCTCCTAAGGGGCATGGGGAGGCAACCACCTGCTGTTCAGAGGAATTGCTGCCACTGGTGGTATATTCACAGGCAACAAGATAATTATTTTAAAAATTAAATATCAGAAGTGCATTATACCAGGAGGCTTGAAAACTGTGTTTAGTTTACAAGTTTATACAGTAATTCTTTGGTAACAGGCTTTATAGGTGTATGCATGTTCTTTGTTGTTGTTGTCCCTTGACATGTGATTTTTGAATGAGAACACAAATGTAATTACTTGCTATGTGCATGTGTCTAGTACTCATTCTATGCTTATGGCACATTGTCCTTATCTGGATTAAAGCTGATTGATTAGCCCTAACAGTATATCCTGCAAATCTGGACAACCAGAGCAAAGCTACCTAAACAAGCTGCAAACAAGGCTGCCTGAAATCCTTCTCTCTCTTTCTCTCTGCTAATTCCTCATTATATTTTTATCTTAAGTCATCAAGTTGCCCAAGCATGGTGCCAGCAAGCCTAAGTTTGTCCTTATCTGGATTAAAGCTGATTGATTAGCCCTAACAGTATATCCTGCAAATCTGGACAACCAGAGCAAAGCTACCTAAACAAGCTGCAAACAAGGCTGCCTGAAATCCTTCTCTCTCTTTCTCTCTGCTAATTCCTCATTATATTTTTATCTTAAGTCATCAAGTTGCCCAAGCATGGGGCCAGCAAGCCTGTGTAACCATGTTTCCCCAAAAATAAGACAGGGTCTTATATTAATTTTTGCCCCCCAAAAACGCATTAGGGCTTATTTTCAGGGGATGTTTTATTTTACAGTCATGTCATCTTCTGGTTGCTGCACAATGCTGCACAATGGTGGAGGGCAGGGTTGCACTTAACTGGGGCTTATTTTTCGGGTAGGGCTTATATTACAAACATCGTGAAAATTCATAATAGGGCTTATTTTTAGTTTAGGTCTTATTTTTGGGGAAACAGAGTAAGTAAGTAAGTAAGTAAGTAAGTAAGTAAGTAAGTAAGTAAGTAAGTAAGTAAGTAAGTAAGTAAGTAAGTAAGTAAGTAAGTAAGTAAGTAAGTAAGTAAGTAAGTAAGTAAGTAAGTAAGTAAGTAAGTAAGAAAGAAAGAAAGAAAGAAAGAAAGAAAGAAAGAAAGAAAGAAAGAAAGAAAGAAAGAAAGAAAGAAAGAAAGAAAGAAAGAAAGAAAGAAAGAAAGAAAGTGAGACAGGCAGGCAGGCAGGCAGGCAGGGGGAAACCAAAAGATTTAGCCAACAGGTGTGGGGAGGAGAGGATTCTAGCAGTTAATAAGCTGCAAACAAGGCTAATTTCCTCCCCTACCTTTGCTTCCTGTGTGGTTGGCTGAAGTGAAGTAACCCAGAGAAACCTGACTTCCCAGCTGTGACTTCACAGTGGATCCATCAGCATTTTTCCTGTTGTGTAGCCGCACCCTCTCATCCATTTCTCTCCCTCCCTCCCTTCTCCCTCTCCCTCCTCTTCCTTGTTTCAAGAAATGTTTAGTAATGATCATTGTGGAAGATACATTCCAACATCATGAGGGCTTTGCCTTAATTTCCATAAGGGCAAAAAAAAGCAATTAAGAAAATGACATGCTAAAGAAGAAGAATTAAAAACAGATGTTTATTTCTTCACAGGAGACCTGAAGTCCAAAGATTTTCCCATAGAACCTCCACCCAAAATGGGCACTAGACCGTCACAAAATGGCCCCAGGGATAACCCGACATGCATGGATCTTTCCACAAAGAAGGGCAAAAGCAGCGACACAGAAGCAAAAGGCAATGCTGAAGGACAAGAAAAAGACATGACGGCCAGGAATCATAATACGGATTCAGTGACAGGGGCCTCCTGTAACATCAAAAAGTTCATTTCTTTCCACAGTATATTGAAAGAGGAAGTTGCTTTTGAAAAATGTGTCTTTACAAACGGAGGAGACGTGGCCCCAGAAAAACAGCATAGCAGGAAGAGCTACCTCCGTGACCCCAATGCCTTATCGCACAAGGAACTTCCATTTTACCTCAGCAACCTTTATTCCTCCTGCTCACAGTGCCTACCTTTGGGCAACCTGCCCCAAGCCTATCATTTCGCCTGCTGTACCACCCCTGCCCTTTCTCCCGAGTGGGTAGCAGCCCCTCGAAACTTCTCCTTTCCACCAGGACTGCCATGGACAAGCCATAGAGAAATGACACCCCTGAACTTTTCTGCCTTTCCCAAAGGAGAAGAAGATGCCAAAGAGCCACGGAATCCACTGTCTTCTCTCCACCCTGGGAGCTATCCACTTCTAGGATCAGACAGCGGCTGTTCTCCTCTTTCTCCTGGCTATGCGGTTTGGCCCCTGAAGGTCGCCCCCCAGGATTTATGCCAGCACGAGAATGCCAGCCTCAGCGCAACAAAGACATGCTCGCCGGTGTTCCAGGAAAGCTGCAAACCATGCCCTCCAAAGAGGAAGAATGGCAAAATCAAATACGAGTGCAACGTCTGTGCGAAGAGCTTTGGCCAGCTCTCCAATCTCAAGGTATAATTCGGGAACCAAAAGAGAACCAATCTGTGAGCAAGGTTATCCTCCCACATCAGGAACAATTTAATCCTCTAAATCCCCTGGGGCCAAAATCAGTGTAATGGAAAGCTTTTGCAATGTGGCTCCCCACACATATACGCCTATAAATAACAGTCAGTGCCAACTCAATTGTCCTGAACATCCGCCCTGCACACGCCTTCCATTGAAGTACAATCACAGTGTAGGTGTACATACTGTCCCAACATGAGCCATCCAATGCAGTACCCCAGTGATCCTCAACCTTGGGCCTCCAGATGTTCTTGGAGTACAGCTTCCACAAGCCCTCACCATCACCTCTGCTGGCCAGGATTTCTGGGAGTTGGAGTCCAAGAACATCTGGAGGCCCAAGGTTGAGGATCACTGCAATATCCAATTTCATTGAAGAAGCAATGACTGATCTTTCTTTGGAGGGCCAGACTTCTGGAATGGTAATATCCCCCCCAAAGATAATGCATGTGTACAAAGCCAAACTCTGTCCTTGCTATACCATCCAGAAAAGTTCTTCTGGTGTCTTCACTTGCCACGTACAAGCCGTGTGTTGCTGCCTACAGCCTCCATGCTCTTGATTACACCAGAGGCAGCTGAACAGGCCATGGGCCTTAGCTGTGCAAACGTAGCCGATAGTTGGGTCCTTAGTTGGTTGTCCTCTCAAATGCTAAAGAATTAATTCTAAAACCAAAGCTTGGAACATTCCTATTTGTTGTGTGACTCATGGCAAAACTGTCTCCCCTCCGATAATTAATTGCTGACATGACAACAGGATGATTTAAGCGATTCTATATGTAAATTGTTGACTTTACATCAGCCTCTGTTAACTTGCGGTGGGGAAAATCCACACTGCTAGTAAAAGAATGACATCAAATATTTAAAATTCTTCCCAAAATGCCTCTTAAATATTCCTAAAATTGTCTTTAAAACTCATTGTAAAAGTGACTGGAAACTATTAAAGGAAAATGCAATGAATTTGTTCCTCCCTTGTTATCTGAATTTATAATGTGACATTGTCAAACAAAGGGGAAAAGACAGTCTGTTTCACCTGCTATTTGTACCTCATTGCTTCCAAGCTCTGCTTGAAACAAACAAGCTATTTCTCTAGCTGTTTGGAGAGAAAGGTGAACATTTCATAACAGGTTTGCATGACATGATAAACCAACCACGGGCAAAAGGTGTGTGTTTCATTTAGGAGTTTCTACCGCATTGGAACCCCGATTCATGCAGAGCCAGAATTTGGAAAGCTAGGGTGTGATCAGGCAGTGAAATAGATCATACCTTGGATAGCATATGGAGTGGTCTGATGTGATCTGACACAACATAAGAGGGGAATGCACTCCAGCCTGACCCCACTCAGTGCCCAAGCTAGATATTTTGGATCCAACTGTAGGGCTTCTACATGGGGGCGGGGGCAGGCTGGAGCGATTCCCTGGCAGATGGAAGTGCTGCTTTAAGGGAAAACAGTGTTTCCTGATGCAATCTGACATGCACCTTTCCTGGCATCTGACTGCACCCCTAGTTTTAAGAAAAATGAATGCATGAATGTGCATTCACCCCAAGAGGGCAACCGACATTCATCTCAACATATCTGAATTGGGAGATACTAATATGGTGTCTCTGACAGTTAGAGAAATCTTCCAGCTGACCATCTGAATTGAGTTTGTCCTGCAGTTTGAAGTTGTTTGGTTGCAGGAAAAAGGGATGTGGATATTAACAGCCAGTTGTGCCAAATCCAGCACCCCAAATTCTATTAGTTTATAAAACTCATAAAATGGAAGAAGGGAGTCCTTGCCTAGAAAATATTTCTTCCCTGTTCTCAGCCACAACCGCATCCCTGGTGGGGTAAGGTTGTGGTCAGCAAAAGTTACAGAGTGTCATGGCCATTTAAATGCTAACAAATTTCATTTTGCATAACTTTTCTAGACTGCAGGCCATTTCATCAGAGGTACAGAATATACTCTTCGAAGACAGAAGCTGTATCTTGTATATCCCATGTTTCCTGTCTGCATTATTCATTTTTTTCCTTTCCAAAATCCCACATTTTTCTACCTCTTTGCCCTCTACTGTAAGCTTGCATTTAGATTTTCAGAATGAGATCCAGAGAGAGTTCTTACACCTTTGAGTGTGGTCCTAAAAGGGAAAAAAAATCATCACATGGTGTTTTCCCCCATCAGTAAAATACTCAGATGAGAAAAGATGTACATAAGTGGAGGCTTTAAATGTACAAAAATATCTTTTCAGTTTTGAATTGTTAATTCTCTTTCCATCATCTCCAAGATCAATCTGTCCCATCTCCTCTAGGTCCACCTGAGGGTCCACAGCGGAGAGAAGCCTTTCCAGTGCCAGATCTGTAAAAAATGCTTCACCCAATTGGCTCATCTCCAGAAACACCATCTGGTCCACACAGGAGAGAAGCCACACAAATGCCCAGTAAGTAACTCTCTACTCTTCTTCAACAAATGGATGAAGGAGGGAGGCAAAATCTTCTGGTCTGTGGGAGTTCTGTGGGTAGCTGTGTGAAGGGCCAGGAATGAATGAGAGAACACACTTGTTGACAGCTTGAGGTGCAACGAATGCTGAAGAAATGAGAAGATTACAGGATAGTGTTGTCAGAATGCAGCGTTGGGTAACCGTGATTTGCAACTTGTCATGTAACAGGAGGAGAGACAGACATTTTAATAACAATTACTAAAATCAGCTCTCTCAGTTCCGAAGGCTGCTGCAATTACGACCTGACAGCCTGCTGAGTTACTGATAATTAATCTGTGGCCTTCTGACACACTTGTAATAGCTGTGGCACTCAGTGTTTTCATTAATCCCCTTTCTTTTTGCACACCAACTTGCTTTAAATGGCAAATATAATAATGGAATGCCTGTAAACGTATACTGTAAATGTCCATCTCAGGAAAAGTAGGTGGTTTTTTTTCTCATGATTTTTTTTCACCCTTCTTTTGTAGCATGATTGATAGGATATAAGGTAGAAAAGGTTGTGAGACACTATGATGAAGGATAGGTTTTGGGAAGCAGAGTTTATTCATTTATATTTATCTGTTAAAATATTTATGGCAGGCCCTATATCAAAACATCTCTAGGAGGAGTACAGACAACAAAATGGCATTAAGCAATTTAAAAGTTTTCCCAGTTTGCTTTTTTTTTTCTTCTGGTAGGTGGTTTGTGTGCACATTTAACTGGTACACGACCAAATACATTTTCCAGTCAGAAAAGCATTTCCTGTCATCACATCTGAATGCTGTCAGAATTGCCACCTTCTGATTTTCTGTTTGTCATGAGTCCAATGAAGGCAATATGGGACGTGGTGGTGCTGCAGGTTAAACCGCAGAAGCCTCCGTGCTGCAAGGTCAGAAGACCAAGCAGTCGTAAGATCGAATCCACGCGACGGAGAGAACTCCTGTTGCTTGTCCCAGCACCTGCCAAGCTAGTAGTTCGAAAGGATGCAAATGCGAGTAGATACATAGGTACCACCACGGTGGGAAGGTCACAACTATGTCAAGGGCTCATTCCTTGAATCCTGTTTCAAGCCGACAGCTAGAAATAAGACATCTTGGTGGAACTAAGAAGCCGTCTAGGGAAGCCACCTAAAATGGGTATTCTGAAGTACAGGCATGAAGATGCAGGGTTCAGACAAGGCTTACTATGAGTCAGGACATGTCATTTTGGAAATTAAACAGAGGCATTCTTCAGGTTGGGGCAGGCAACCTTTCCCAACCCAGCACCATCTTGTTCCCGGGCTGAGGAGGCTGGATGGGAGAAGAGCAAAATTGCCGCTTGTATATCAGCAAAGGCACCAATTGGCAAAGAGGAGCTCCTGAGCCTTGCAAGACCTCATCATGGTCTACAAACCATGCAGACCTAACCAAGGGCTTTCAAAATGCACCCATACAAAATAGCATGACCTCTTTGTCCCTTGCCCACCACAGGCCTGCAACAAATGCTTCAGCAGCACCAGCAACCTAAAAACCCACATGCGCCTTCACTCAGGAATGAAGCCCTATGTATGCGCCTTCTGCAACAGCCGCTTCACCCAGCATATTCACCTCAAGCTACATCAGCGGCTGCATGAGCATCAACGCCTGAACCAGTGCCCCAACTGCCTCAAAAGCTACATCCACCTGGTTAGCCTGGAGGTGCACTGCCAAGGATACTGCCCACGTGTCTCTCAGGCCGCCTGTTCCTCTCGACACATCCACTGTTTCAATGAGATGATTGACCACTTCGACTTCAGTCTAGAAGCTGACCGTCTGGAAGAGGGAGAGAGTGACCCTGTCAGGGCTGCTCGGCTAGTGGAGGCCGCCATTCTGAGGGAAATGGCCACCATAGGCCAAGCAAAAGGCCTCTGCTCACCAAGCTGGCACAAACATTTTGCTCTCTTGCCAGTGAATGCCTACTCCTTTCTTGTGAAGAGGGCATCCTTGCCCACATAACCAGCCTAACGCTGGTTAGGGATGGAGTGGTGGGAACTTAATGCACTTTGAGTCAAAGTTTGTGGCTAGAACTGGAATCTTTTCCAAATTTTCCCATCTTTTGAGCTGAGGGAAATAATGGCAGCAAACAGGGCCTTCTGTGTTGTGGCACTGGAATTACCTTTCCCTGAGAGTTATTCTTGGCAACATCCTTGTTTGGCGGTGATGGTGGTTTCAATGCTAAGCAAAGACTTTTTTTAAAAATCGCTGAGGACTTTGAAGAGTTTTAGATGTTATGACGGCATTTTAGTTTAGTTTGTTTCTCTGTGTCATTTTAATTTTCCTAATTCATCCATTTCAAAATTGTGCTTTTTATTATTTGTAAGTTTCCCTCATAAATAGCTCAAGAGAATGATGACTTAGGGTCATTTGCGCCACGTTCCACCGTTGTCAGGATCTCCTCATAAGTCACGGAATACAGTGGTGCCTCGCTAGACAGTTACCCCGCATGATAGTTTTTTCGCTAGACATTGACTTTTTGCGATCGCTATAGTGATTAGCAAAACAGTGATTCCTATGGGGGAATTTCACAGGACAATGTTTGGTCCCTGCTTCGCAAACCGATGTTCGCTAAATGATTTTGACAGCTCCCTCTGTGCTCGCAAAACAAGTGTTTTCGGGACCTAAGCTTTGCAAGACCGCTGTTTAAACAACTGATCGGCGGTTCGCAAAGCAGCTTTCCTATGGCTGATCTTCGCTAGACAACGATGATTCTTCCCCATTGGAACGCATTAAACAGGATTCAATGCATTCCAATAGGGAAATGCTTTTCGCTAGACAATGATTTCGCTAAACAGCGATTTCAGTGGAACGGATTATCATCGTCTAGCAAGGCACCACTGTAGTCTTAGCAAGACAAAAGCTTGGGATTTGGAAGACAGATGATTGTATGTTTGTACTGTTTCAGGATTACAGTTGTAGTTTGGAGGGCTATCTTGTTTCATTAAAGGTTTTTACCTTACGTGGGCACTATTTAAATTCATTAGAGGCTTTCCCAATCAAAGACATTGTCACTTTGGCCCACTTTAAAAGTTCCAATGTCATGTTTAAAAATTGATCCTGTGCCATGACTGTACCTCGCTAAATATTAGTACCCAAACTTTTTCTTTCTGGCTGAAAGAACAATCATGAACATTATGTGGTGGTTTTTTTTGTCAGTGCTGTTCACTTTCACAAAAGCAGATACAGATATGTTATGTCATGATTCAGAAACAGTTCTATTTATGGGATAAGATGCTCAGGCAGCAATGAGAGACAGATAAATCTGTCACTGTTGCAGAGTTTTTGAATTTCTGATTAAATTCTCCTTTTTATTCACAACAGAAGTACAGAGATTCACAGAATAAAACAGCTTAGAGTTCTTATTAACTGGCGCTTACAGTCTCAATAACTCACTCTGAGACATTATTAGTAGGAAAGAATAAAAGTGTTGCATTGCTTATAGTTGGGAACAGGTTAACAAACTGACAACTGACTTGAACAGGCAAAAGAGAAGATAAAAGAACTCAGAGAGGCGAGGCTCTCTTTGAATCTGAGGTGAGAAATAACAATTGGTTAGTGCTGAGCAGATTGAAAGCCACCCCTGCCCAGAAGGGTCCCCCCCCAACAAACAAACGACAGGCAGCATGTGAGGTTGTAAACACTCCAACGGACACATCATGCTAGATCTTCCACTTGGAAGAAGCACAACGATGCTGTTGCATAACTCCTTTTGAAGAGGTTGTCCTGACCTCATTAATTTTACTCATGAACCCACTCACCTGACCAAAATTTTATTTCAACAATGACAATTCCCACCACCACTTTATTTTATTTACACTTGCCAACTGGAAAATCAGTGGGCAATTTGACGATGCCCAAGTTTAACAAGGGGTGGATCAGGGTGGGGTTCAGAGGTCACAAGGCTTGCCAGTGTAATTGCTAAATCAAACAGTCCCAAAATGTGTGATAGCAGTAAGCTGCCCCTCCTGCTATCACACAGTGCTTGCACAGATTATTATGTCCCACTGAAGTTTCCATTGTGCTTCTCCATTTATCTCTGAGTGTATTTGTCCATACCTCGGCCCGCCTGGGGTATCTGAGCTACAAATTAATCTGAGTGCTGGACTGAAGTACCTGCAATGCAGCCTCCTCACCTTGCTTTTGCAATATCTGTTGCATGCAAAGCCTATCCAGTGCCTCATATCCTGTGTTGTGGATAACAATGCCACCCAAACCACATGAAATGAAACCAAGAGTATTCCCCATTTGATTGTGCAAATAGCTTTAATTTTGTAGCAGTATCTGGTGGGGGTGACATAATGTTTCAACAAGACTGGGGAACATGTGGCCTTCCAGCTGTTCTTAGAATGCAACTCCAATTATCCTTCATCAGAGGCTATTCTAGAAAACTCTGGAGGGTCTGAGGTTTGGCTTAAACATTCCTTCCCCTGCGTCGCTGTTGTTGTACCATTTGCACAACTCTGAAATGTAAAGAAGACATCAGCAGACTCATTCAAAATTTTCAAGTCACATATTTTCTGCTCTTAAACAATTCTTAGACAGGAGTCTGCAATATGAGAATAATAATTTATGAGGCAGGTTTACCAATTACAGAGATTAGTTATATGAGATAGTATTTTCCCTATGCAACAAGTTCTAAATAAATTACAGTATTTGTTGTTATTGTTAGCATTATGTTTGTTACCTTCTCAAGGCTATTAAGATGCTACTATAAGCCTCTGTTCTGTGCATCTCACCTCTCAGTCTACTGCCAGGGGAACTCTGGCCAATGCAAAACCCTTTGTCCTCTTTGTATATGTGGCTAAATGTCTTACTTAGAGGGACCATGTCTTAATTTGAAAGTATCCTCCCTTCGAATGGTTTTTGAGTCCACCTCTACTTCAAACAGGGGTGGGGAATCTATGATCCTCCAGATGTGGTTTGACTTTGATTCTCATCAGCCCTAGTCAACATGGCCAATGGTTGGACAAGAGAGGAACTGAGGTCTAGCAGTACCTGGAGGGCCGTAGGTTCCTCATCCCATTTCAACTAAAAATGGCTCATTAGGATCTCGAAGTTGGCCATCTACAATTGCCATAAGCACAAGAGACTGAGATGTGCACAGATCATACCATTTCCTACTATTGTGAGATATATGGTATTTCTAGTTCTAAACATATATGTATATGCAAAGTTTGTACAAAGCTTTCTCTTGCCACCACCCTTCTATTTTGGAAGCTCCTGTGCAGTCAAGGGGCGCAAGTACCAAGACTGGCTATTTGGGCACCTGAGACCTTATTAGGAGTGGGGAAACCCACCAGCTTAGGTTTTGTGCTGCACCCAGATTCTTCTGAACTTTGACAAATCCTTCAAAAGTGAGCAGCTGAATTCTCCCCTTTCATTCTGGACAAATGCAATAGGTAGAGATATTCCCCATATGGAATATCTTGCAGCTTGTCTGTCCCTGTGACGCTCCTGCATATCCATGTGTTAGAATTTGAATTTTGTTTGCCATTGCCTCTTCGTTGGTTTTTATAATCTGCGCACTTATGGTTGATGGGTGGACAAGTGTTTTCCATTATTGTTAGCTGCCCGGCCTAGTGCTTTGTCACTAGGCAGACAAAATAGAAATGTAATGAATGAGGGAGGGAATGAATGAATGAACTATTAGAAACCTTGTGATGGGGCGGGGGAAGAGATAAATGCTTAGGCACTAGATGAGTGGAATAGAAATGAAACAAACAAATAAATATAAAATAAATAAAAATTTTATGTTTTTATTTATTTATTAGATTTTTACCCCGCCCCTCTAGACAATGTCTACTCGGGGCGGCTTACATATATAAAAACACGGCAATATAACATATATAAAATTATAAACATTGCAATTAAAAATGGCAGCCTCAATATGGTTGAGTACACAAAGATTCACTCTGACTTTTGAAAGTTCAGAATGGAAAACCCCTAGGTTCATTCTTATAAAATTAAACTGGAAAAAAATGGTTTACACATCCCCGTGAAGAATATCTCACACAAAGAATTTATCTTCCCTTGCATTAAAATTATGCTAATAAAACACCGGGTAGCTAACAATGGTTGGTCTTCTGTGTCATTTAAAACCAGCTGCCTGAGGCGGCTGCCTCACCTTCCCTAATTGTAGGGTGGGGACCCTGGGCCACCTTCCTCTTTCTACCCCTCACGTAAGATCTGTATTTCATTGCCACAGCTTCGCTGCCATAGCATTGTCTGTGTCTATCTTCATGATCAGCGACAGCAGCGCATTTAAAGGTTTACATCATAGGAGTTTGCAGGGCTCGAATAGCTAAAGGCAATCAATAGAGACTGCCTTGAAGCAGGCTGAAGGAAACGCCTGCTTGAAAAAAATGGGGCTTTCTGCCTCGATGCCATTCCTCGCAGAGTTGATCTACAAGGCCTCGGTGGCTCAGTCATTGGGGAAGAACTGGCTCTTCCGGAGCCTTGCCTCCCTTTGCCTCCCATATCTGAGGAGGACCTTCATTAAACACATTCTCTACTACAGCTTTTGCTCTATTGTTTCAAAGGCTCGCCTTTGGGTTTCCAGCTCAGCAGTATCCCTTTCCCTGAAACTTCTGGACGAACCCTGAAACAGGAGCAGCGTGGGCTATGGGGTAGCAATACCACAGGACAAAGTAGGCAGAGGGGTGAGCATGGAGGTAGAACTGCTTCTGGACCAGCTGATGGTGGAAACGTGAGGGCCATCTGCCTAAGGAAATAATATGGCAACCAGGAGCTAGGGAATGGAGAAGAAGCGGTTTCTTGGTCGGCAAAAGACAACTTGCAGCAACAACAGTTGCTGACATTTTCTCTAGGGCCTGCCTCCCATAGCATCCTCAAAAGTCAAACACAGAGAATTATAACAATTAGGAAAACCTCTAGCAAGCACCGGCAGGCCGGCAGGCCCAGGTGTTAAATCTTCTATTCAGCTCTTTGTGTTTACTGCATTGTCTGCTTATCTATTTATTTAAAGATCATCACCCGTTTCTGTGTGTGATGCTTCACACAGTACAAACGCAGGAGGAGATTCCTGCCTGGAGGAAGCTAACAATGGGGGGACAAAGGCCAAACTAAGGAAGCAGAGAAGCAAGGCAGAAAAGGCAGGGAAATTATACACAGTAGTTTCACTGGCATATGCTTAGCTTTAGTTACAAGCTGAGTTTATTTAATTAAGATATTTCTTCTCCACTTCTTATTTGTGCAAATTGTGAGGCAGTTTACAACGCCATAAATCATTCAACAAACGCATTGGGAAAGCAGCTACCATGTTCTCTAGACTCACAAAGAGAGTATGGCTGAATAAGAAGTTGACGGCATATACCAAGATCCAGGTCTATAGAGCCTGTGTCCTGAGCACACTCCTGTACTGTAGTGAGTCCTGGACCCTTTGTGCACGGCAGGAGAGGAAGCTGAACACCTTCCTTATGCGTTGTCTCCAACGCATTTTTGGTATCACCTGGC